GAAGAAAAATGCCTATTTCAAAATAAGAAACACAACCAGGAAATTAATCTCACAGTGATTGATAGTACGAAAAATGTGAAGCAAAAAGAGAGCAAAAAAATTAGTTTTTTCAAGGTTAGAGAGATATTCAAGTAAATTGCAGGAAGTCCCTAACCGAAATTTCGTCAGACCTGTATTAAATCAACAAGAGACACACAACATCTGAGTTCGGATCTCGAACACGATTCATAAGAAGAAAAGATATTAACACAAGAGCCACCGGTCTTTATTTAAGACAAAACAGAGACCATTATAATATTATAACGACTATACTTTCAGATCAAAAACCAGTTTAAGCTACCTACACGCGCACCCAACGCAAATATATTTTTCTCTCTCTTTTTAAATATAAAAATTTCAATTTTAAAAAGACAATAATGTTTGTAATTGAATAAAAAGAGATTTTAATTTCGATTTTTAAAGTAAAACACGTATAATAAAAAGTCTTGTGGAACTTTATCTAAATGGTTTTGTAAAATTTCCTTTCAAATACATAAAATATCACTTTTCGGGACGCAAAAACTCGTTTTTCCTTTCAACTTCTTAGAAATGAATTTAAGCACTTAAAACAATTTTAAAGAATGATTTAAAGTTGATTAGAGAACTCAACTGTATTAAGACAAAATAAAGATGATGATCCATCATAATTAAAGAGAGAGAATATCGTTGTGAGGTCTATTTGAATAAAACATATTTGTAGAATAGTAACATGGCTACTGCTTTGGAAGAAACATCTCATCAGACAAAAAAAGGAGAACGCGCGGTGTGTGTTGATAAACAAAGATACATCGAAACCGTTTAATTACTGGGGACCGAAGATTAACTCTAATGGAACGATGCTGTTTCGAGCCTCGAGTCTTGTTGCTGATTGGCCGCAGGTTCCTACCTGGCGCCTACCAGGCTAAATAACTTTTGAGTTTAATTGTAGCACACGTTATCAGACCGAACGGTTCTTTATTGGACAGGAACGTCGTCACCAGTCCTTTGGGGGCATTCCTTTTAAGCGTCGAGCATTAGCGCGACTTCTTTTTTTCTTTTCCTCAAACAAGGTAAACGTATTATTGACGCCACGATAAAGCCACCCAAATACCAAGGAGGGTGTTTAAAAAATCAAAAAGATTCAACGATATACGTTAAGACCACGCATGATTTCGTTATATATACAAAAAAGGAAAAAAGTAATAATAAAGTACAAAAGTCGATAAAAGAATAAGGATGGACGACTACAAAGAAGAAGCGATAACTCGAAATTAAAAGTTTCAAAAATAAAAGACAATGACAATAAAATAAGAAGCAAATTATAAAATGGAAACACTGCGTATTCTTTGTATAAAGAAAGATCGGTAATTGCGCCTCAGTAGCCTTTTTATTTTTGTCGATTAATTAAAATCAATTCATTGCATTCGAGTAATATTAATTTCAATTAACCTTGATCTCGGGCGGGTATGCGAAAGATATTCAAAAAATTTTTTCTTCTTTTAAAAGACAAGAAGAAAAAGAGTGAGAGAGAAGGAGAGAGAGGGAGAAAAAGAAGTAGCTCGCAGCTGTCGAGTTTTGCCATTTATGTTTAAAGCATGTACCCATTTTCGCGATAAGGGTAAAAGTTGAAGATATAGAGACGGTAGTTTGGATTTCCTTACGGAGCAACTTGCGTGACAACGGCTCGGCCATTTTGCGGTGTCCTAATAGTTTTAGAGCTAGGAAGCAGACAAGCCACCCTTCGCGACTAACACACCCCTTTTCACCCCCTCTACTCTTAACAAAACCCCCAAGCTAACAACGACGCCGGCGCTCCTTAGCGACGAATCTAATTAACTTTATTACGTTTCTCTTCTGCTATCCACCCCAAAAAACGACAGTCATTTCCAACTTATATTCTTTGCCAGATCTTACAGCTTCTTTAATCACTAACAAACCTATAGTCTCAAAACCGAATATTTTCATTTTGCCAATTTCACAAGTTTTTCTCTTGTTAAAATTTTATTAATTAAATTTATTTAAAATAATTAAATTAAATTAATTCAAATTCATTAATTTCATCGAATTAAATTAATTCAATTAAATTAATTAGCCCAAGTTCTATTTAAGCAAAATGCATTATTGATCGCCATTTTAGAATAATTATACTTTTTTCCATTAAAATGTAAAAGTAAATGGAATTGTCTATATTTTTAAACATAATAAATTTAAAATTCAATTATAAAATACGGTTCAATCAATAATGCGCATTGGATTAAAATAGCTAAATGTTTTACCAACAATATTTTCTTCGATAGGTCACAAAATGATTTCATTACCTTTTTCTTCTTTCTCTCTAAATTTGAATTAGTTGTTACTAATTCCAAATTAGTAACCTTTTTGCTATACTCTCTAAATGTAATTTAGTAAAAATGTTTATTAATTTGAATTAGTGACTGACTTTTTGGTTTTAAATCAGTATAAATTCAGGGTTCAATTTTTTCTATTTCTGACAATAATTTCTTTTTAAATAACTTAATTCTTGAAGAACTGACATTAAGTTAATACTTATATAAATCATTAAATGAAGTATTTTTTGGAAAAATTTTAAATAATTAAATTTCAAGAGTTGCGCTTACAATCTTTATAAACAGATGAACTTAAAAGGTTTCAATTTGAAATTTTATAGAAAATATCAATTTTTAATGAATGTAAATAGAAATTTTTTAAGAACAACTGATTACATAAATTTAATTAATTTCAAAAGTGATAAACTTCTTCTCATAAATTCAATTATGTTAAAAAAAAAAATTCTTGTAAAAATTTCAATGATCTTTATAAATATTAAATTCTTCTCCAAAATTCAATTATTTTCAAAAAACTTAATTAAATTTTTTGGCAAAATTTCCTCATTTCAATTATTTTTATTATCTAGTATTTCTATTAAATTTTCCAAAAAAATTCAATTAAAAATTATAATAAAAATTTCACAGGAAATTACCAATTTTTTATAAATTTCTTCGCACCTATTCAATTATTTTTAATTTTTTAATGAAGTTTCTCGAAAGAATTCAAATACATTGAGAGAATTGAAAAAAAATAGTTCTAACAAGTTTACTTATTTCGAAAAATTTAAATAAAATTCATTTCAAAATTCTGTTATTTAAAAAAAATTTTGCCAAAATTCTTTACAAGATTTAGTCAATAAAATTTTCCTATACAATTCAATTATTTTCAATACGAATCTTCTTAAGAATTCAATTATTTTCGCAAATAATACATTTTTTTATGGGAATTGAATTATTCAAAAAAATTTGAATAAAATTCTTCGCAAGAAATCAATTATTTTTATAAATATTAAAATTTTTCTCGAGAACTCAATTATTTTAAAAAATTTTGATAAAATACTTTATAAATTTGAAAAATTATAATAAAATTCATCATAGAATATATAATTATTTTCGTAAAATATACATAACATACTTCCTGGGAATACAATTATTGTCAAAAATGTTTGTAAAAATCTCCCAAACAATTCAATTATTTTCGTAAAAAATAAAATTCTTCTGAACAATTCAATTATTTAAGAAATTTTAATAATATTTTTCCCAATAATTCAATATACTTTTCAAAAACAAACATTTTCACAGAAATTCAATTCTTTAAAAAATAAAATTCTTCGTCAGATTTCAATTATTTTCATAAATAACAAAACTTATCGCAGAATTTCAATTATTTTTTATAGGATTTAAAATAAAATTATAGACAATTGCATTTATTCTTAAATTTTTTTTAAAATTCGCCGAAAGAATTTAGTTATTTTTAAAAATTTTGATGAAATTCTTGTCAAAATTTCAATTATCAGAAATATTCAATTATTTAATAATTTATTTATTTTTGTATTTAAATAATTGAATTCTCGAAAAATTTTCTAATAAGAAGAATGAAGAAATTGATTAATTTCTTCGGATTTAATATTTATTTAAAATTAGAATATTCTTCAGGCAGAGTCAGGGAAAAAGTCAAAATTTTGTCTGTAAATCAGGGAAAAGTCAGGAAAAACCAAATTAAATGTTTGTGTCAACCCTGAAATTTTACTAATAAATACAATACCTATAATTCCTACTAAGTTATTCGCAAAATTTACTAAGTCAAAAACAAAAAGTAGGTACCTACTTAATTCAAAAGCAAAAAGTCAGTCACTAATTCAAATTAGTAAACATTTTTTTCACTAATTCAAATTTAGAAATGAGTAATATTTTACTAATATTTGGTAAAAATTTACTAATACAATAATGTAAACTTACTAATTTTTGGAAAAAAGTTACTAATTTTTTAGTAAAATATCTATTATTTAAAATAGTCAAGTCTCATAATTTCAATTAGTTGATATTTTACTCTCAAATCAGGAGTTTTTTTACAATTAAACTAGCAGTTTTTACTAAAAATCAGTAAAATTCTTAATATTTAATTATAGTAAACGATCTACAAGAAATATATATTTGACTCATAGTCTACTATATTATTTATTTATGTATTCAGTTCAAATATATTTTATTTGGTGCAAATAAAAATGTTATTTGTGCTAAAATAAACTTTCTATTTAAAAGAAATAAATAATTTACTGGACTCTGTGACAAGTACACTTTTATTTGACTCAAATAAATATTAGATTTAAACCAATCATTTCTCTGGATGTAATTAGTAAAATACTACTAATTCAGGTTTAGATATCAAGTAATCCATAATTCGAATCAAATAATTTTTTAATACTCCGTAAAAGAACTATATTTTCGCCTCAGAGCTTACATAATTTTTACAACGAAATTATTCATAAAGACGAGATAATAATAATAATTATCGACAATTAAGAGACTTTATTTTACTGTCACGTTATGCAAACAACAAGCAAACAGCATTAATACCTATTTTATTAAATAATCACTTCAGGAAATTCTAAAAGTGTCTCTCTCATTGAAACCATTTATTTTTTAATGTTTCAGGAGACAAACGGCCGAGGAGAGAGAAGCAGAAAGACAGGCTGCAAATCGTTTAATGCTTTCATTACAAGCTGAAGCTTTAGGAAAAGTTGGATATCCAACTTCAGTACCAACTCATCCATCCAATACGTCTGTCCCTAATCTCGAAGGGCAACAGGCCCCACCACCATTAACTCATTCCGTTGGTCAATGGGCCTCACCATACGGTCCACCCCAACCTCTAACTGATCCTATTTGCTGAGTGTAATGAAGAAGCAATGTAAATTTTTTTTTTCTTTTTAGTTTCACATTATACACGAGTTCCAGTTTTTTGCGTCTTATTCCAAGAAACCGTTCGCAAAGGAAACATTAAACAATGAATATTCCGCAAGAACTGTATTGATGTACCGAGAGAGTTCCCCGAAGACGTAACGCTTAACTTAAACCACGAACAGAATCAGATAATCACCTTCTCGTTCAAGGAAAGAAAAAAAATTATATATATGTGTCAGTGTAAAAATTGAAAAATAAAATTAGTTAACAAGAATTTTAAAATATCTAGATACACAAAAGCGACTAAACGGATCTGTTTAAAAAGAGAAAAAACAAAATAATTCTTTTAAAGTGAATCAAGAACAAACTAGATTATACATTTCTTTATCAATACTAATTATTATCGTTAGTAATTCCAAAATAATGATCTCAGAATTATAATAAATATATATGAGCGGAATATTCAAGTTGTCTGATTGCCAAAAAATGACGAAGCTCAAAACGAGCCGAATATATTGTAAATATATTTCTTTAAAAAAAATAAAGTGTTGTGATTCTGTTAATTATAATAAAAGTAGAATTTTTTTTAATTTTCGTGAAAATAATTTAGGCAACGAAATAATTCCAAAAAAACAGATTTTGACTGATGTGAAATGTGAAAATCTTATAACACAACATATCTTTGTAAATATATATAAAAGAAGATTAAGTTAAGATTTGCTTATGTACAGTAAGAAAAAGTTTGATGTCAATCAATAATTTGAACTCATATAGACTATGATGATTGACATGAACATTTTTCTATCGTATATCAAACACATGCTTGTTTTGTCATGAAAAATTATCAATTCTATCATGACGAGTTTGCATGAGCATATATCCTGTACATAATTAATGAAGGTACGAGTCAGATTGTAATCGTAACGATGATAATGATGATATACTATTTGCGAAATATACAATATGCATCGTTACTGTTATTGACATATATGATTATTATAAACATTTGAATGGAACGAAGCTTGTATTCTGCGTTAAGAATAATCCTAAGGCTATCGAACTTTAATGAACTATGTGATGTTATGTACCTATACTTGTAATGTGTAAATATAGAACAAAATGAAATGGACATAAATGATCTATAATAGAAAAAGAAATGCATTATTCATATCATTTCCCTCCAACTTCATTCAGAAGGTTCGAATCAAATTTCAAAATTCAGCAAAATATTGCTGATAAAATTATAATATAGAAGTTTTTTTAAATACTCCATATTAAAATAATTCTATACTTAGGAAATATTTAAACACTGATGTAAAATCTGACTATGAGTCCGATTTCGGTTAAAACTTATATTAGTCCAAATATTGACTTAATTTCAAAGGAAACTAATTTTAAGACATAAAATTTGCTTACTCAGGGTTGCCAAACTTTTGATCATTTCAAATTTCCTGACTTTTCCAGGTTTTCCAAGTTAAAAAAAGAAATTTTTACAGGTTTTTAAAACTACATTTATATTTTACAAAATTAAATAATTAGTTTACAATTTTTCCATAAGAATTAAGATTATCAAAAATTTTTAATTCAAACCTTTTTGAAATTAAACAACTCTTAAAAAATTGTTATAAAACATGATCGACTGATAAAATCATTATTTTATATTATAAGAATATTGTTACTGTAACTTATTCAAAATTACTTTCATCACTTCAATTCAATTATTGTTTTCCAGATTTTTTAACTAAAATTCTTCTTTAAAGGGTCATTCACATATTACGTGATACATTTAGGGGGGGAGGGGGTCTAAAATACCTAAAATATTTATCACGTAATATGTGAATGACCCCAAAGTTTAAATTAATTATTTTTAATAATTTTTGAAAAATTACATTGAAAATTTTCAAATTCTTTTGTTTACAATTTAATTTTACAAAATTTCATCGATTATTCGGAAATTCTTCAATCAAATATATATTAGACAATAAAAACTTCAAATAATTTCAAAAAAGTTACAATAAACTTTTTCCAAAAATTAAATCTTCACAACTTTCAGTTAAAAGTATGAAAAATTCAAACATTCGAAGATTGTAATTTGAAACCTTTTCAAAATTCAATTATTTCTAAAAATTCACGCTACAATAGTTTCTCTATAAATTTGGATCAGTAAAACTAAAAATGTTTACTAATTGGAATCAGTAAGTGACATTTTGCTTTTGAATTAGTATAGTTTACTATTAAATTAGTATAGAAACGACTGTTTAAAAGTAAAATTTGCGAATTCAAAAGCACAAATTAAAATTAGAAAACATTTTTACTAATTCAAATTTAGAGAGTTTAATATTCAATTATCTAAAATTTTAACTGAAATTCATATTTAAATCGATTTGTATTAGAAATTCCAACGAGAATTCAATTATTTAAATACAAAAATAAATAATTTATTGAAGAATTGAATGTTTTTTTCAAAATTGAACTCTCATAAAGAATTTTAACGACAAATTTTTAAATAAGTAATTAAAATTCTTTTAACGAATTTCAATCAAATTTTTAAGAATAATTTCATTTTCCGAGAAATTAGATTAAAATTGTATTAAAAATAATTGAATCTCTTTAAAAAAAATTTGATTGAATTGAGAAAAGTTTTCGAAAATAATTGAAATTTTGCCAAGAATTTTATTAAAATTTTTGAAAATAATTTAAGTTTGGAGAAAAATTTTATTATTTATAAAGATAATTGAAATTTTGAAGAGAATTTTTTTAAACTTTTGTCCATAATTGAATTTCTGCGAAAAATTTTATTACTTTTGAAAATAATTGAATTCTTGAGACGAATTTTTAAATACCAAATTAAATTCTTTTGTATTGAAATAGTAGATATTTAAAATAATTGAATTTTAATAAATTATTGAAATTAATCAAATTTCTACGAAGAATTTTATTAAAATTTGTATTAAAAATAATTGAAATTCTGCGATGAGTTTTATTTATTTATAAAAATAATTGAATCTCTGTCAAAATTTTGATTAGTTATAAAAATAATTAAATTATTGCGAAGAAATTTATAAAGAATTTGTAAAATAGAATTCCCGTGAAATTTTTATTATTTAATTAATTCATTAAAAATTGAAATTTTACAACATTTCAAATTACAACCTTTTAAAGTTTATCTATTTATGAAAATTGTAAAGGCAATCTTTTAAAATTGAATTAATTTTTAGAATTTTTAAGAAAACTTTTCTGTTCTGATTGAAACTAAAAAATAGACTGGAAAAAAAATTTATTTAATTTAAATAACTGATTACTTGTCTATTATTATTAAATTGATATTTATTTGAATGGAATAATTTTTATATATATAAATTAAATAAATTATACTTTCTAAATTTGAATCAGTTAAAATTCTAAATAATTTGAATCAGTGACTGACTCTTTTTGTTTTTAAATCAGTTAAAATTTACTGATTTATCTGTAGAACATTTTTTGAATTTAAGAATCACACTCAGAAAAAATTATGTTTGAATGAAATATTTTATTTTGTTGTATAAAAGTTATTTTTGGTTCTTCTGAATAAAGTTTTTTTAATCTAATAAATAGAACTTCATTTAAATAATTATTTGGATCATTTTAATAAATTTTGGGTTTGAAAAAAGAATTTGATTAATCTAAAACAGGTTTTTAATTGGTCCAAGCAAATGTTTTGTTAACTGTATAAAAATACATTTGTTTCGTTGATTGAATTAAAATTTTGTTGATTCAAACAAATTTTTTTCTGAGTGCAGTAAATTTCAACTGATTTAATATCAAAAAGTTAGTCACTGATTTAATTAAGTAAAACTTTTAACTGATTCAGATTTAGAAAGTCTGAACCAACAATGAAATTTCAGTATTTGAAACAAATACCATTTAATTGAAATAAATAAAAATTATCTAATAAAAAAATAAATATTTATGTGATAACAGACAAGACTATTGTTTATTTTAGTAAAATAAGTTTTTCTCAGTGTGTTTACAAATTTTATATCTAATTGACACTTGAAAATTGATTACGTATCATTACGTATCATTTTAGTAACTCTATTCTCACGATTTCAATCAGTGGAGTTTCAATAAACAAATTAATTGAAAAACAAGTGATACCTAATTAAGAACGAAAAAGAATATAAAAACCGAAAAAGCAGATAATAAATAAAGCGATCTTTTAAAAAATTACCTAATCATCAATCTACCTAAAAAGCAGTTATATGAAAGGAAGCGAAAATGGGAAAGTGGCAGGTTCAAAGACTTTTCTGATAATAAAGTCTGGACAAGGACATCGTCGGTTTCTTTCGATTCCGGCAATTGTTTTATTTCCTCCAGAATGATCCTATATACTTCGCCTAGCTCGAATGTCGTGGGGTCTTCGCTTACCGGATGTGGCTACGTTTACTGCCGATAATTGCAGAGAAGATACTAAGCGCCGTCCTGCCCAATTATTTGAGGACAAATGCCGACCGAATGAAGAGAGAATGAAAGTTATATCTTCCTCTCTTTCTCTCTTACTCCTAGATGGATGAAGGCGCGACAGGATGCTGACACCCCTTCCAAAGATTCTAGATCACTAGACCACCTATAAAAAAAAGTCCTTCTCTCCCTTTACTATCCACTTACTTAATACTTTGTCCAACAAAGCTTATTCGGTTCGTCAAACAGTAGTTAACTTTTCTCTCGGAGGATCTCTAGCACTTATTGTGGTGAAACATAAACCATCTTCCTAATAACATTTTCAACAACACTTTTAGTGCTGTTAATTAATTTTTCTTACTTTAACACTTTTCTTCAATATTTCAATTATACACTCAAAAACAATATTATTTCATTCAAGTGCTCGGTTACTTGTCTATTATCAAATAAATATTTACTCGAAGCAAATAATTTTTATTCCAATCGAATAAAATGTATTTCACCCAATAATTTAAATATTTGAAGCGCAAAATGCCATTTACCGGATTGCCACAAACATTTAATTTTGTTTTTCCCTAATTTCCTAACAAAATTATGACTTTTTCCCTGACCCTGAAGAATATTCTGATTTTAAATAAATATTTAATCACGAAGAAATCAATCACTCCGATGAGTATTCGACTCGGAGTGATCAATTTCTACATAATTTATAATAAATTAAAGATGACAGAGTGATAAAATCATTATTTTATATCATAAGAATATTGTAACTATAAATTCAAATTTTCAAAGATTTTAATTTGAACCCCTTTCAAAATTCAATTATTTCTACAAATTTACGCTATAATGCTTTTAATATTCAATCATAATTTAAAATTTTAAGTGACATTCATTTTTTAATCACTTTTTATTAGAAAATTTTTCGAGAATTCAATTATTTAAACACAAACATAAATAATTTATTAAATAATTAAATATTTCTTAGAATTGAAAATTTGACAAGAATTTCATCAAAATTTTTAAATATAATTGAATTCTTTCGGCGAATTTAAAAAAAAAAATTTAAGAATAAATGCAATTTTCTATCATTTTATTTAAAATCATACAAAAAATAATTTTAATTCTGCAATAACTTTTGTTATTTATGCAAATAATTAAAATCTGACGAAGAATGTTATTAAATTCTTTTTTTTTTTAATAATTGAATTTCTGTGAAAATTTTTATTTTTGAAAAGAATATTGAATTCTTGGGAAGAATTTTATTTAAATTTCTTAAATAATTGAATTGTTTAGAACAAGTTTATTTTTTACGAAAATATGTAATTGAATTGTTTCGAAGATTTTAACCAACATTTTTGACAATATATGTATTCCTAGGAAGTATGTTATATTTTACGAAAATAATTGTATGGACAATTTTATTATAATTTTTCAAATTTATATAAAGCATTTTATCAAAATTTTTTAATTAATTGAATTCTTAAAAAAAATGTATTATTTATGAAAATAATTGATTTATGCGAAGAATTTTATTGAAATTTTTTTGAATAATTGAATACCCATAAAAAATAGAAAGAATTTTGTCAAAATTTTTTTTAAATAATAGAATTTTTAAAAGAATTTTATTTAAATTTTTCGAAATAATTAAATTTGTCAGAACTATTTTTAAATTCTCTC